AATGCTGCTTCCTTTACGTACATGGAAGCACAATGTTTAATAAGTACATACTGTAGATATAAATTATTCTTCAGGGTTCTATGTTTTCACATTGAATTTGTGCGCTTTGCTTAATCCACTATCATGCCAACTTGCTGCACAATACATTATAAGGCCTTTTAAAAAAATGGTTCATGAAAAAAAAAATGTCTTCTTTATGAAACTGGATTTTTGTACGTAGACTTTTCATACAGCTCAATCACAGGAGGAAATTTATACCAAGTCTTTTAAAAATCACATCAGTCTTATAGCATAAGAGTGTTAGACAGCACCCCTCTGTCCATTGCACCATAATTGGTAATTACACTGTTACTTTTCTCTCGTCTGTTTAATCTAACAGCAGTATCTGAGGCTTACCATCTGTTACCACATGCTTAGAACAAAAGTTCTATGATTGTAAATAGCATTTACTGTTTGACTCTGAAAACTCAAAGGAAAAATAGTACATATATAGAAAAAGAAATAGCTTTTGCATGTGATAAAAAAAGCAAAACCAAGGCACCTTTTGGCCCCCAGTTTTCTATCTTTTGGAATTTGTTCCTCATTAATCTGTTTTTCTTCCTTAAGCCAACACACACATCTAGGCTATCACTTTAGATATTAATATTGCAGCTGGAAGTGTTAAAAAAACACAGTACAAAAATCTGTTATATGTATTTTTTTTTATTGATCAATGTAAAAGATTTTATTTTCCGTCTGTTCTGTCCTGTTGATGTCTGGGGTTGCTTTAAAAAAATGTTTAATACATAGATATTGACAATGAGAATACAAAAGATGTAGTTTGATCTTTGTATTCCATTCAGTGCAGGTTTTTTTTATGTTTTTTGCTTGTCTCAATAGAAAAAAATGGTTGCTATTAATACATTTTAACATTATGGGAAGATGTTTTTTACTTAAGGAGTAATCACTTTAAAATGAAGGTGCATGGTAAATTTATATTTCTGTACACAGAGAAAATTTATATATAAACTATTAACACTCACAACCTCAGGTGACTGTTGCTGTTGCCTTTGTCTATATTACCAAATCCTATTCCTTATTAAGCCATGATGTGGGGGTGGTCTTAGGTGCACCTGTTACCTATACCTATGCAGTGGGAATACCAGAGAATACCATTTTTTCAGCATGCAACGTTATTGATATTAAGTGACCAGTAGGTTGAAACTTATGAGTTCTGCTCACAGGTGGCATACTCTAATACGTATAGTTGGCATGTGTACCTTATTATTCACTACCATAGGATCATCACTGTTTCTGCCTTTGTTCATATCATTGCTCTTTCACATACAGAAGAGCTTTGATTTTTTTTCTAATTCATTTTAAAGTGATTATATATACTCTCCTTGAAATTATAAACCTTTACAAATAAAGCTCATCCTTAATTTTTAGATATTTTACTTATTTGCTAAATTTTGAGCATGGAGAATGCTACTCTTTATTGATACTTTATATAATGTTATTTTCTCTGAAAACATTGGATTAGTCACTATTGGTAAATATGATATCCAGCCATTCTCCCTTTATTACGCTGCATCTCTTGCTTTGTCCTCTGCCTGTGAATGAACGAAAAAAAAACTTATAGAAATTTGAAACTTATTTGATCATGTGCTGTGTGGAATGTAATTAAAGGATGGTATTTTTGTACAAACATCTGTTTGTCTTTACTTATCTTAGAAATGTTGCCGTTAAATGATGCAGGCTCTCAAGCACTTAACCAAATTTACAGTTTTGTTCTCCATCATTCTACTATTTCATAGGGTGTTGGCTTTTTGCTGTCTTTTCTGAAGTTTCAATCACTCTGTGTCACCTGAGACAACAATGGTGGCTCTTACAGGATTTTAGTAAAGTGCTAAATTGCTCTGAATGGGTTTATAATGAAGATTGTCTCTCTGGAGTAATCTGCAAAATGGAACATCATTTTCCATTTCCCCAAAGAGCAAATATAAGCAACACAGTTGCACACTGGTGTGACTAAACAGCATTGCACAATTAAATCAAGTTGATTTCACACAAAAAGTGCTCATAATAAAGACAGGCTCACAACCATATTTAGATGATTATGGTTGATTGGATCAGAAAACGATGGTATGTTTATTGGGACTGTGCATCCTTTGCAGACATCCCTGACTGACCAGTCCCAGGGGAAGAACAAATCACTAAACATCAACCCCCAGCCTACAGAAGTAGAAGTGACATGAATGTGTTGGCTGTTCCAAAATCAGAACTCCCAAACCATCATTCAATTTCTTTAAAAGAGAATCATGAGGATTAAAAATTAAAAAAAAAACCTTTATACTTACCTAGGTGGATGTAGCATCAGTCCAATGCTGCATCTGCTTCTAAGACTGATAACTGAGTGATCAAAGACTACTGAATGCTTGGTGCTCAATCTCTAACGAGTGACAGTCACCGGCTCTCTGCTCTGCCCCTCCAGCGCTCACTGGAGTGCCGGGCTGTGGAGGGGGCAGGAGCGGCTGGCTCAGGTTTCAGCAGCTCTGAGAGGCTAAGCCAGCTGCCGTCCAGGCATCTGGGTGAATCCTGACCATATGGACGGAATCTTTTCAGAACCTGGACCGGCTCTGTGACATCAGCCGACAGCAGGCTTTAGATGATAACTGATAACAGGTCATGGCCGTGTAGAACGAAGTACACTCTCGTGACCTATAGGAGAAGTAGGGCCAAAAGAGCTTTGGCCGTACTTTTTTAATGCACTGTTAAATTTGTGCTGTGTGTTATATATTGGAGAACAGGGTTTGATGTAGTAAAACCTGATACTTAACCAGAAGAGTTACAATCTGCATTTGCAAAAATATATATGAAATGTATAAGCTCTGTGAACATTCCTGTATTGCCAGGATAGGCATTAATATATAGTGTGTAGTCATGCTGTGTGTTTAAAACATTTTTAGACATAAGAAAATATTTTTATATATATATATATCTATATAGATATATATAGATATATATATATCTATATATATAAATAATGTGCCAACCTATTCCACAGCATACAAGGAACATCAAAGTATAGCTAAAGACTTTTGTTTTGTTTTTTTTTTTTTTTAGAGTTGGGAATGGTTAGATCAGATTTACAATATTGATGTCCATGCCCCTACTGGGGAGATTCACCCCCCCCCCCTATTTGTCCAGGTAGCGATTGTAACCAACACAGAAAGTAAAAGAGAAACCAAACTTTAGTTGTCCCGGATTAGAACATGAGGGTAAACCTTATGATAGGGGCACATGTATTGGTGACAACTATCAAAAGGGGGTTTCACTTAATCCAAGTAGACTCACTTTCACTTCCTCTGGCATCTTTAGAACATACATTGGCCGATGATATCCCCAGTGGGATGCAGTGTGCGCAAAATATAATCAAAAATCCCTGTAGGAGTTTTAAGCAGTCCTACACAAGTCAGAAGAAATGTTTTGGATGTAGATATGGTGATTTACTAAAGAAGTACATTTTATTTCTTTCAACCAAGTAAACTTATATTCATTTAGAACACTGAGCCCTGGTTCACACTGATGCAGTGCCGAATTAGCACTGGTTTGCTGTGCGATGTCCGCACTGCATCATAATCACACCCCATTCATGCGAACTGCTGAGGGTGTGTATTTTAAGTTGACACCCCAAAATTGGTTCGCAAAACGCAGTGCAATGTGCAGAATTGGATCACATGGGTGTGAAACATCCGATTCTGATGTGGACAAAAAAAAAAGGGTCCTGCACTATTTTGGTGTGGATGTGGTGCAATTTGAGCCATACAAAATGTATGGCTCTAATTGCACCGCACAGAAATCGCATGTGACTTGCGCAGGAATGCAGTGCGGTTCCTGTGCAAATCACAGGCAATGTGCCGCATCGCATCAGTGTGAACTAGGGCTCAGGATAAGTAATGTAAATTTCCGTTGCATATGACAGTAAAATATTCCTTTATTTAATTATTACATCATATATTATAGGGTATCTTTGTGGGGTTATGGAAAACCTGCTGGGATTTGGAATATTTGATAGCATTCTCAAAATGTCAGTCTATCAAAAAATTATCACAATATATACACAAACAGTCCTCAAACAAGCTCCTGCACCCACAGAAAGCACTGTTTTTCCTCTAATCATAAATAAATGTCTTTGAAGATACCCCCTGGGTGGTCCCAAGGACTGCATTTATACCTAAGCCAGCCACATCATGGAACTATGTGAACAGGTGCTGTTTCTTTTTACAAGTGTTAACCTCCATAGGTCAATATATAGAGGATTTATGTGAGAGAAATAACATTATAGGAAAATGTCCCGAAAGCTAATGAACAAAAAATACACATTTCTCTCTAACACTAAGCATAAAAGAGTAGTCCCAGAGCTACCAGAGGGAAGTGTGTATGAAATAGAAGAGAAGTTTTTTGAAAAAAAAGTTGTAATTAGAGTCTGAGATCTGAACAGACTTATGTTTGTTCCAATTTTATATTTTACATTTTTAGGATGCATGCTAGGCTAACTTACGGAACAACATCTTTAGTATGCAAACAGTTCTGACTATCCTGAACTTTACACATGCATATTATCTCATCCTCTTTCCCTTGAATATTTTTCAGTTTGTTTACTTATATTATGCCAAGCTTTCATTCCTCAAGATTCAAAAAAGACATGGGATTACTAAAATGGTTTTACACAAAGCAGGGAATAACTAAAAGCATATTTGTATTCTGAAATAGAGCTAGGCCATTGATGCATTTGGAGCTGCAGTGGGACTACAAAGTTTCTGAGTATGATGAACTCGTGGTTTCAACAGTTAAAGAGCTATTAGCTGTGCTTGGCAAAATACAAATCTATACTCACTGGTCAGCATGAATAATTCAGCAATTCTACAACACTATTGTATTTGGGACTGATATTATTTTGCATGCTTAGCTCTGAGCTTAAAAAATAATTAAAACAATTTTTCTTTTGCTTCTTTTAGTGGATGTACCTGTGATAAAAAATTTTGATAATCAGGGTCGCCGCTATGGAGGAAAAATTGGTAAGACTTTTTTTAATATATCTAATGGCAAATATGCACTAAATTTTTTAAGATTTGACCATAAACATCCTTACAGTTGTGTATGTCTGTGAATGTTCTCTTTTATCCAGGTTATGGTATAGCTCATGGTAGTTAGTCACAATTAACTGGACTTGTTCTGTAATGTTGAAGACGTTTCACAGTGTATTCAAGGTATTTCTTTAGTTCTAATGAGTGTTGGGAACAAACCCCAGCATTTATAGCCACACAGCCACACATCTCCCATCATGTTCTTGGACAACCATATTCTGCATTTTGGACACAATAGGGAATGGTTAAAAGCCCTGTCAGTTTTTGTCATCTATGTCTGATTTGAAAGATTTTCCCTCACTGTTTTCCCAGTGCACACAACAGTTGGTGAGAACTACATTTTCCAAAAATGAGGCAAGTCAGTAAGGGTCTGAGATTAAAAAATTTCAGTCTTTGCAGATGACACCAAGCTGTGCCGTGGAATAATGTCCTTACAGGATGTCTTCCACTTACAAGCCGACCTCAATGCACTGTTTAATTGGGCAATTATGTGGCAAATGAGATTAATGTTGATAAATGTAAGGTTATGCACTTGGGGGCTAAAATATGCATGCATCATACATACTAGGGGGAGTACAACTGGGGGAATCAATGGTGGAGAAGAATCTGGGAGTTCTGGTAGATCACAAGCCTAATAATGGCATGGAATGCCAAGGTGCGGCTTGTATTAAAAGAGGTATAGACTCCAGAGAGAGAGATATCATATTACTCCTGTACAAATCATTAGTAATACCTCATCTGAAATATGCAGTTCAATTTTGGACACCAATTAACAAAAAGAACATTGGGGAACTTGATAAAGTACAGAGAAGGGCAACCAAACTGATACGAAGCATGGAGGAGCTCAGCTATGAGGAAAGATTAGAGAAACTGAATTTATTCTTTCTTGAGAAGAGGAGATTAAGGGGGGATATGATCAACATGTATAAATACATCAGTGGTTCATATAGTGAACTCGGGTGTAGAGTTATTCACCCTGAGGTCATCACAGAGGACAAGGAGGCACTCTTTACGTCTGGAGGAAAATAAATTTAATCTCCAAACACGGAAAGGTTTCTTCACAGTGAGAGCTGTGAAAATGTGGAATAGACTCCCTCAAGAGATAGTTCTGGCCAGCTCAATGGATTGCTTCAAAAAAGGCCTGGATTATTTCTTGGATATACAGAATATAACTGGATACTAACATTTATAGGTAAAGATGATCCAGGGAATATCTGATTGAATCTCGGGGGATCAGGAAGGAATTTGTTTTCCAGCAGGAGCAAATTGGATTATGCTTTGCTGGGGTTTTTTTTTGCCTTCCTCTGGATCAACTGTGGGTATAGTATTACTTTTTTTTAATGGTTGAACTGGATGGACTTTTGTCTTTTTTTTTTTCAGCCCAACTAACTATGTATCTATGTAAGTCCAATTTTAGACAGTTGTCACAGAAATAAGTGTTCACATTGGCAGATTTGTACTGTATTTTAGTTCTGTGGCAGCTGAAAACTTTGGATTTCCACTCAGTTCCTTACAAGCACACAGAAAGCATTAAAAATGTAACAGGGGTTCTAAGCCTTCCCTACACTATCCAAAACAAAACAAGATGCCTTCATATATATATATATATTAACATGGCTGGTAGACATTTGGCTGTAAATACTGGGGTATGTTCCCAAGATTGAAGAAATGGCTTTGATCATCTGTGAAACACAAGTCAGAATGATCATAGAAATTTGGCAAAATTGATTTAGCCTTTTTTGCAGTTCCCTCTCCCATAGACTTCATATACAAAGTCAGTTTATATTTTTTCCCTTGGGTGAAATTTTGGTGAATTGCATTGGAGTCAGAAATATGGTGAACTTTGATGAAATTTTGGTAAGGGCAAAATTAATTTAGCAAACTTTTGCCACTGATCTCTGCTATTACTCTAAAACAATCTTTCTTTGCTGATAACTGACATATTTATTGGCACCTATGCTATAATAGATATACAGTTTGGCTTGTTCTGTCATCAGTTGCTAGTAGTTTTAATAATTTTAAATCTTTTTCCTTTAGATGAGTACGAGTTCTACACACCTTTTCCCACCAGTAATGTGGTAACTCCAAGGACTGACAAAGAAGAAAGCTGGCTTTATACTTTGGATCCAATTTTAGTTACTATCATTGCTATGAGTTCCCTTGGAGTACTGCTTGGAGCTATTTGTGCTGGTCTTCTACTGTACTGCACTTGCTCTTACACAGGCCTTTCTTCTCGTAGCTCAACTACCTTGGAGAACTATAACTTTGAGCTCTATGATGGAATAAAGCACAAAGTAAAAATGAATCCACAGAAGTGTTGTTCTGAAGCATGATAGACTTGCTTACTTTAATGCTGAACACTTGGTGACATTACCATTTGGAAAATCTTCTCTCGCCATCAAATGTGGTGGCAATTTAATTAGCTATTTCAGCTGCTTTTTCTTAAAGACATGGAAATGAAAATTTCTTACTACAAATTAGAGAAGAAAAAATGTTTGAAGAAAACTGCTTGAAAGGAAACTGCTTGAAAGGAAAGGATAAAATAGCCTTTCCATTGATGCCTCCCAAAACTCAAATGCCTCCCAGTTTTACTTTCATGATGTATGATTTTTTCATGGGTTTAAATATCCCAGCAAAAAGTATTGCTCCATTGAGGAGTGATGTGAATCAGTTCTGATTTCAGCGCTGTTAATTTCGCCACTTGGATATTTGGGAACAACCGCACTTTTAGGTGGGAAGAAATGTACTGAACCTGCCCCAAGTGAGGAGGTGCACAACAGCATCTGAACATGAGCAGAAGAGCCTTAAAATAAGTCATGATCAAGAGCCATTTTCTACAACCAGGTCTCTAATGGAATTGCGATTGCTTGCTTCTTCTTGTGGTCGCTTACATTTTCAAATGCCTAGAACAATGGACATATTTTTAAAGGGTTTTATATTCAGAGCTGGCTTTGATTGTACCTTTTATGTATTGTATGTTTGGAGGGGTGGGAAGTAGTTACATTTCATGTATTGTTTTCTAGTGAAGCTTATGAAAACTGTGTTTAACCCCTACACTGCATTTGCTATGAATTTGACATGGTTCCATTCAAACTGATAATGTATATAAGTCACCTAGAAATGGTAGAAGCTGTCGTTGCGCAAGGTAAACCAATATTAATGAAAATATATCCAGTCAATATACTAGGAGTCAAAGTCTTGTAGCTTCTGGATCAATTCCACAGGTTGCTAGTGAAATAATATACAGTACATTTCTGTAATGCCTACATAATGCATCTTTCCACGGTGTGTAGGTTATGGATATGTTATGATTGGGGATCTACTTAGTATCCTTTCAGGTAAACTTCACCACAGGAGCCTCTGGCTTGATTAACTGTACCTTTTAAATTCAAACCCCTGAACAGCTTACTAAGGCTATGCATCATTCAATGAAGAGTTGGATGAGAAAACATAAGTGTTCTTACAGAGATAGCAAAAGGGGTTTATGCTGAGATTATATGCTGGTACAAAAGTAGGGGCAACATGCATATCTTAAGGAGAAACCATTCTGCTGTACACACTCGGATAGAAAACAGCATACTGGGAACTGAGATCAGAAATAATAGGCTTAATTTTGTGCTTATTGTATGCTGATATATGCAGCGGTAATGTGACATCAGTTCTATATTAGGCAAGATGAATTCCACTTCAAATGCATTTCCATGCATCTTCTGGGTGTTGATAAATACTAGCAGATGAAATCATATGATAGATGTAACAACATTCAACCTCGACATAGGAAATTTAATATATGTTATCTATACCAAACTACACAACAGGCAATTTTAAAATGATGAGAGAACACAAACCAATCTGTAGGTCTGGCAATGCTTAGTTGTGTAGTGACTCAGCAGAACACCCCCGCCAGCACTTAGCAGCAATGAAATAGGGGCAATACTTTTCATTATTAGGAAATGATTTAGGTGCCTATAAGTTTCAATGTAAAGTTATTCTGAATTTGATGTTTTGTTGTACATTTCTGTTTACTGATTGTAGTGCCCAGTCTATTCAGCGATATATGACTGTTCTGGCAAAATGGCAGAAACTAGTGTCTTATGCCTATAAGTAGCTTTTGTTGTTGCTGTTGTCACTGTGTTTTTGTTAAGGAAAACAGGCGTTGTTTACGTTTTCAGGAGCAGCTAATTACATAAACTTTTCTTTAAGCATAGTCCTGTTTCCTGCTTAAGTGCCTTGGATACACAGCATGAAGGTTCAGAAGAATGAACATTTTCTTTATTGCCATGTCTTCAATGGAACTTCAAATGCTTTTCGATCCACTTGGTTGTGACTTTGTTTGTGGAACCCATATATTGAATGGGTAGTTCCTGTTGCCAAAGCAAAGTCACATCCATCCAGCTGGTGGTCAAGCACACTGGAATGTAGAATTGGTTATAGCTATTCCCTCCATACATATTGAGATGACACCACAAACTACAAGAAGATATAAAATAAGGCAAACGAGGCCCTCATATAAGAAATTGTCTTTGCTACCAGATTCCCTTCATGTTTCTAACACAGCTTACAAACGCAAAGAAAGACTCTAACTAGTTGTTACTAATTCGAAAAACCTTTGTTTAATTGTGTCTCATATGCCACGAAAACTCTACATTTGCCAAATAATTTATTACTTGAAGTTGGTTGGTTGAGTACACACTAGTATGGACAGTAGGAAAATGCTGTTTGCAAATGTCCTAATAGACGCCAGCTGAGTGCCTATATAAAGAGTAAAGGTTGACACAAACACGCACTGCCCATGTCATTGCCGTTAGTATAGTAGAAAACAGAAATTATAGCTATTGATCACACACAACATCTATGGCTAGCTCAATTCCTCCTTCTAGCTTTCACAGGGCAGAGCTGACATCTCCTAATGTATAATAAAACACGGGTTTATCTGTAGTCACGGTGGGCTTCATTTATCAAATGCAGAGTATGTTATTTGCACTTACCTCCATGCTAGCCTTTCTGAGATACCACACTGCGGAAACACCACTACTAGAGCAGCAGCACCCCAAACTATCCATTTCAAGCCCCTGTGCTTATCTGAATTGAAATAGATTTCCCTTTAGACTTCTGTTGTGCTGATTACATTATAAATAAAAAGCCTGCACTGGAGATAAGTCTAATTAGCATATTATATGTACAGTAATTCTCATAATGCTTTCCAAACATAATTCCTGGAACTTTCCTTAAGGCCATAGGGATGTTTTTCCAGCAAGTTCCAGTGTTCTGCAACATTTTTTTTTTCCAGAATCACAAATCACCATTTATTCTATTAGAAGTGTTTAACCCCTTGGCGCCAGCCGCCTCTCAGCCCTTTAAGAGTTCTAAAACCTGGGAAGCGGAGGCGGGCCTTCGGATCATGTGGCCACTGAGATTATCTGTCACAGTGGTCACATGATTAGAAAGCACCCATCTGCAAATATTTTGAGAGCTTAACCATCAACTCCGGCTACTAAGTTGGAAGCGTGCAGGGAGCTTTAGTTTTTAACAGGGCCACATACATGTGGCCACTCAGCATTAAGGGCCATGTGCCGAGCAACCGCATATATACGTGCGGCCAGGGCCAGGATGTTAAGATGGATGCTGACAATACTACCGCTATAACTCACAGGTTAAAATAAATTTTTAGTAAACTTAAAATTGTCCTTAACATAGCAAAATAGTTTTAGTATTTAATTAACATTTGCAAATACAATTGTAACTAGATCACTTCAGATTTTGCTATTGTACTTGAAGTCCAGTGTGATTGTATAAGGGACAATCTGATGAATGCATCATTTAAGATATTTTTAGAGGTCATTGATATTCTTAGCAGTTGAGGGCTTTGTATTTGGATAAGGACAGAGTGTCCAAGACAATACTAATTAGACACAGTAGTCCCTTTTTTTTTAAAATGCAACTTGAATGTTTATGGTAATATGCATGAAATGCCCAGCACGAGCAAATAAATGCATTGTCAAAACTGGCAACTGAGGCTTATTTATAGAAGTGAATGAGCCATTTCATTCATTGAGGGATCAGGCTCCTGGTAGTGTGCTGAGAGGCTGAGCCAGCTGCCAATCAGGCATCTGGGTGGATCCTGACATTGAAGTCGGGATCCCTCCAGAGTCTGGACTGGCTGATTGACATCAGCCAACAGCGGACTTTAGCCTGCTGTCAGCTGAATCTGGGTTACAGGAGTGCAGAATGAAGTGCACTCCTGTGACCTAAAGGGAAAGTAGGGCTAAAAGAGCTTTGGCCCTACTTCTTTTAAAGGGTGAGTTTCCAGGTTTTTGGTAGATGTTGGAGAGTTAAACCACCTAAACGTTTCTTATACCTCTTTGGACCAGGAATTATGGTGTGGGAAGATTTTGCTGCTGGAATATTCAAGGCATATAGGAAGCCAAAGCCCAAATCTACCACTATCCACTGATAAATTTCTGCATTCTGCCCTATAACAGAAGCAAGAATGATAAATTGGAATGTTAATGATAGCAGCATAAATATTAAACAAATGTCAAACCTGACAATAGAATTGCTATATTCGGCAATTCTGTTTTTGTTCCATAGTCAAGACATTAAAAGCAATTCATTGCAGCTACACCTCAAACCCCACATTTTCTGTCTGGATCATAACTTCTTTAAATTACACTTAAAGTGGACAATTCAATAAAAACAAATCTCTATTACTCCAAAATGTAACCAGCAAGAGGGTAAAACTGACTAACGGATGTTCATGTATTCTATCATGGCCGAAGTCCTTACAATATTGTAGCTATAATTCTGTACATGCGATAATGAATGTTTAAGAAATGGAAGGATTTGTCTTGTATCCATAAAGTAATTATTTTGTTTATGTTTAATGTTAGCACAGCAGTGTAATATACTCAGCAAATTTCATATTTCAAGCAACTGTAAAAAAGATTCTCTGACTTTTACCAATGACTTTATACCACAGAGGTAGGTCCTCCTTTAAAAGGTGAAGGAGCCTATCAAACATAGCCACCTAAAATTAAACATAACTATTTTTTTCATCTGTTTTAATCAGTTCAAGCAATCCTGTGTTTTTGTGCTATTTTTTATGTAAATTATTTATCTAAAAGAATTTACTCCCTCATGCCCAGTCTATTTATATTTCCCTATCTATGTAAATACTTTTGCTGTAATGTGAAATTTGCATTGAGTATTTTGTCTCCAGCTGCACTCAAGTCTTTTCAGGGGGCCTTGGAATGGCTTGGCATTGCATGCTCCTTTGGTAGCAGAAGGGTTAAATGACATCATTCCATTTACTGGCTGAGCCAGAATGAATGGA